CCCCCCCCCCCCCCCCGAAACCCTGCGGTAGCGAAGGGGTTAAAAAAAAAAATCTGGATTATATTTCAATTCCAAATAATAAGTTATCGTCATGTTTTACACTTAACTTAAAGATATTCTCTTTTTTATCATAATTATTCAGTCTTTCTGTGACTTTATGCTTATAGTGATAGAAACAACAATTAAGCAAACTGTGGCTTCCTATATCATGTTATATATCTAAGTAAAAAATGTCTAAATATCTTCTCAATTCTGTTGTTTATAGTTTTATAGTATGGTGATATTTGAGTGAACACTGAGCACTCTTCTGGCTTTTGGGATTCTGCTTCAAAAATTGTTTGTAAATTTTATTGTTTATATGAGATATTTTACACCCAGATCTATTGTAATGTTTAAAATCATAAAATTGTACCCAGATCAGTTACTGTAGTTTTCAACAAATAGACCATTTTGTTTCAAAAGTCTAAGACTTTTTACCTTACCTTTGTCATTTGTGTCAGGTGGACAATTTTTAACACTAATCTGATAGAATATGAATCTTGATTTTGGTACAAGATAGAGAAAAAATGTAAAGGCATCACTGTCTACTTTGACTCAAATCTTAATGAACATAGAAGAAATAATATAAAATAATTATTGGATGATTAGAAAATAATAATAGTTTTTCCAACTCAATGTGCATTTAAAAATTCAGAAGAAAGATAGAACATTTTGTTTCAATATGCTGAGTGCATGCACAACAACAACAGTTAGTCATTTTATGAGAAATCAAGCCTTTGTAGCTAACCCATGGCGTTTTGATTTGATTTTAGGGTTTTGACCATGAATCGGTCAGTAAAAGCACAGTTTGTCAAAACAGCCAAAGTTCCAAGTCTAAATAAAGAAGGGTCATTTTGCAAGTATACTCACAGAATTTGCATGCAAAATGCTGTTGATGGGTATGAGTTCTGCATTCGTCATATTCTTGAAGATAAAGCTGCACCCTTTAAACAATGTTCTTACATGACAAAATCTGGCAGACGCTGCCCAACAGCTGCTCCAAAACAAGAGAGAAAAGATGGGTCTGTATCATTTTTATTTTTATTATTTAGTAAATTATTTCATTATAGTAACTATGTCAGGACGTGATAAACCAAATTAAACTATTAACCATACAAATTTTCACTGAGTGTGGATGAGTGTACATACTTTCTGGACATGGTATATTTAATTCTTCAGATATTGTACCAAAATACTGTTATGGATTTGAGTATATGTCACACCCACCCACCCACACAAAATATCAATGTTATTCTTTATAATTATTTAACTCACAAACAGTCGTAGCGGCTGATCATCAGTATAATTTTTTTTTTTTTAATTTCTATAAAACCAAACAACTTTATATTTTCTAAACTGAAAGAATAATGTTTTATGTGTCTGAAACTCTTACTTGGATGATAAAAATAACCCAACAGTCAGTGTGGGTATGAGTTGAAGAAAGATAAACACTAGCACAATTGTACTCTCTT